GGGGAATCCTGGGAGTTGAAGTCCACCCATCTTCAAGCTGCCCAGGTTGAGAAACACTGGTGTAAAGACTACTTTGGTGTTTACCCAGAAGGAAGGAATCTGGCCATTCGTAGGACGTTGCCAACAGCTCAGCCAAATCCAATATTCACCTCTACCGCATGCAGTTCTCAGGTTCATACAGGGCACGGCTATTTTCCAGTCCTGGTTATCCACTTTTAAATCATGGATTTCAAAGGCGGGAGGGTGCTTTCAAGGGCTTTTTGATGCTGAACGGATGCTGCTCCATCCTCACTCGTGGCATCGTCTACGTACCGGAGCCCAGGTGAAAACCACAGCGGCTTTTCTTCAGGGCGTCTTCCAACCAGCAGGTTCCGTCCTGTAGCAGCAGCAGTCCTTCAGCCGGCTGGATTTCCAGCAAAGGGTCCGCGTGTTTGGGTCCTCAGCCCCCAAAAGCTGGTTTGGTACACTGGAACAAAGAGCTCAGAACCAGCCCAGCCAGGTTTATGTACCATGCATTATTTTAAATTCAATTTACATCCTCCCTTTTAACAGTGTTTCGGAGGCTGAGTCTTTTCTGCAAGTGCTTTCCTGAAGTTCCTTTAGTTTGAGCTATTCTTTAAAGGTGGCACTTGTCTTTAATCACCGAGGAGCAATTCTCCTTGCAGACCAAAAAAAAAGCCTTCTTCAACCTGGTGTCCTTTCGGATGCACTTGTCTTCACGTTCCATAATCCCCAGCCGGCACAGCAGATTAGGGATTATGGGAGTTGACATTCAACATCGCTCGAGGAGGACTGATGGAGACGGAAGGATTGTGAAAACGTCATTTGTCTCCTTGCTTGACCCTGTGGCTCGGGGGTTTCATAGGACACAATCACACGACGACCACAAAAGATTATAGAACTTAAATATTTATTTATTTTTTTTAAACCATTCGACTTTCTGCTGCCCCCTTCCTCAAAAGTGTGAAAGAAGCTTAATCTATAAACAGATTTACAGAACTAACAGACACCGGGAAGAAGGAGCGCTACGATTCTGGTTGGGTGATACGGTTATTTTGTAAAGCTTCAGATCAACTGTATTTACAACTTGTACGGCTTCTACATTTATAAAAATATTTTATTTAATCCATAACATTATTGTTTTCAAAAACTATGTCCAGACTTTCCCCCCCTCAGATATAAATTCTAATTGTGTTTCAGGTATATAGCAATGAAACAAGTTTTCTTTAAACAAACATTTCTTTAAAATTAAAACAAAGGAGTTAAAAGTTTTTTGTTTTTACAGTGTAGGCACCATTGAGAATAATTGCCCTTGGCATTTCTAACCACCATCTCTTGCCAGTGTCTTTATATCTTTTTTTCCTTAAAAAGAAAAGGATGCAATAGCAACTTTTAACCACCACAACAAAAAGATCATTGCTTGTTTGCGCTCTATTAACTCCTTTCTATATTTGGCTGATACATTTCAAATCCTTTAAAATGAATGTTGTGCAAAAACAAAAAAATGTGCAGATCTGAACTATAAAATTAAACATATCCAGACTTTTTATCAAAAATAAATTTACACCAACACTTCCACAACTAAAGACTGAAATACAATACACTTCAATAGCATAATATACATACTGGGTTGAAAAAGAAAAGAGAGATAATCTCATCTAAACAGTACCATAAATATATAATTGAAAGCAAGTTTATAATTTCTTCTACCTTTTATGAAAAAAAATCACTCTGTACTGCACAGTACTATCTTTTTTGTGAAAGAATATCTATAACTCAATTATTTGCATATTAACTGGTAAATATATATTTAAAATACACTTTGGGATGGGGAGAATTAAACAACTGTTGATGCACTGTATGTAAAGTACTTTAAGAACGTAAGTCTATCGATATCTTACAAGGAAAAAAACATCGCACACGACACTGGTGTCACACACTTCAACCTGCGTGGGGATTAGTGATCCCATGCCCCAGACACAGGCCCGGCTATTCTTTTTCTCCGAGTCTGCTCAACAAGAGACAACTCAGCCAAATTGTGTCCGTTATTGCCAAAAAAAACCCAACCCTTCAACAGTATTGCTTTAAAATTTCTTACCATGATGAACGTTTCTTGGATGCAGGGGCATCCGGGTGGGGCGGGGGTCAAGTGAGTCGAGATGGCGGCGGCCTCCGTGGGACTGAAGCCCCACCCCTTTGTGTGCAATGCATGTTAAAAAAAAAAAAAGGAGTGGGCTTCAGAGACGCGGCCATGGCTGCCATCTTGGTGTTTTACACTCGCCCCTTCCCCCGGGGACGCTCCTGCTCTGCAAAGGAATACATACAAACTGTACACTGAGTTACAGGCCAACCTGCCAAGCCGCTGACGTATTGCTTCCAGACAGAGGTGATCCCAGGTAAAATACTGTACCAAATTTCAGAAGAGCGGACGCTGCGGCCAGTTTCTCACACTTACGCAGGCCTAAACAAAGACGGTGGTGCTCAAACTGGTGCGGTAGCGACATCCAACGGGCGAAGTGCTTTCACACATCTTCTTCTAAGAGCGACTGCGACCCTGGCCTTTCGGGACTTAGAAGACCTGCAACCGAGGCGGACGAGAAGACGGCCGGTCTTCTCCGAAAACAAACGCTCTTGAAACGCACACTGCGCGTGTATTTTCTATCAACTCAAGTAAAAAGGGGTGCGCGTCCACAGATTTGCGGATAACGCAGATCCCACCCATGGTGATTGGCAACTGATAGCTCCTGGTTACATCTAGAAGGAAACTGCACCTCTCTGTTTGTGTTTTGTTTCAGCTGGATTAAATAGGTGGAAACTGAAATAGTAAAAGTCGCTCTTTACAAAAAAAAAGAAAACAAAGTAAGTCCTGGAAATACAAAAAAAGGATGCATGCCATTTACAAAATAGTGGAGTTAAATCCTTTCAGATCCATGATCATCAAATATATTGCGATGATCCAAAAAGGCACGAGGAACTTAGGAAAACAAGCACTGCCAAGCCGAGAGTAGGATTTGGTGGGCTGTAAGCAGGTCCGTGCGGGCCAACGTCGCTGGGGACCTTTCTCAGGAGTCATTTGCAGAGAATCTGTGGGGACAGAAAGGTGCGGGGAGCAGATTCGGACAGTGCATCCCATCTGAGTGGTCTTCAGGAAATAACTGATCGGGATCTGGCACGCAACCGCTCCCCTCTCCCCGCCAGCGCTGCTTCACCTCAACTCTCCCCATCGCTTTCATTCTAGCTTCCCTTCCCACGCCTGTGCTGCTCCTTCCGCTACCTCTCCCGGATCTGTGCCTCAGACAGAAAGCAACGCGATTTTCAGACAGGAACCCTCTGCAATGGATGAGCCAAGTTCAGGGATGGAGCCCAAAGGCTTACTTCTGAAACTTCTCCATCAGCTTCTTCACCATCTTGTCCGTGATCCCAGGGCTGGCGGCTTCAGCCAAGTTGATGCTTTTCTCAAGTTCTTCAATCGCCTTCCTCCTGCCAACATTATTGGTGTCTTGCTGCTTCAGCTGAGCAGAAGGCAAAGAGAAGAGGGTGAGATTTCAGCTGCATCTGCACAGGCTCTGAAGGGTTAAGAGGTCAAGAGACTCACCTCTGCAAACACAGGATTGATTATCATAGTTAAACAGCCCAAGGTTTTCATGAGATCTTGGTCCTAGAAGTTAGAGAGTATATTTTCAGACAGATCCCTTCAAACACTCTGAAATCCCCAGGAAACGTAGCATCAAAACATCATAGTCAAGTCATGCCCAGCTGGCAATTCCAGTCCTCTTTCGGAAAGCAGTTAAGCCAGGACCGTTTCCATAAGCCTTTGGGGATGCTTTTGCCCGGAAATGGCTGCCAAAGTACCATCTTAGCTTGGCTATATTTTAATGAGCATCATGGCCTGGTTTTAAGGTTTTTAATGTTTCCTGACCTGGGGTATGAATAATCTGGAGATGGATAACTATGGCAGTACGCAAATAAACGGACATCAGAGGCTGATCCTTATTCTCTAATCTAATAAAATTCAAAGAAATATCCTTTATCACAGTCCCTTTTGAAGAAATAAAAGAAGTGGGAAAATGCCAGTATAAAGGCATCTGCAATTGCATGAACATTTTTTTTTCCAAGTATGATCATGACTATCCAGTTCCCATTATTCCAGGCAATGCCAATTTAGTCTGACCTTATCAATTGTTGCAAGTGGAGAATCCCCAAAACCAAACAATAAACACAGCAATTCAAATTAGGAAACCTCTGTGCAGTGGGTTTGCTTCCAACCCGCTGGTCTACCTCTGCCTTCCCCAACTGGTGACCTTTCAGATGTGCTGGACTACAGTTCCCCAAAGGGCTTGCTGACCAGGCTAGCTGGGAATTCCTAAAACTGCTGCGACAATCCAGAAGGCACCGAGTTGGAGGAGGTTAGCACATACAATTCTAATTCACGTCACCACAAAGAACAGCCTAAGAAACATAGGAGAGAGGAATTTCGAACAATTTCTTTATCTCAGCAGACAATTTTTCAGCATGATCCTGGAGATCTTAACCTTCATTCAGTCATTATTCTCAAAAATAATCCTCGTTTTTGTACAGGTGAAAGGGAAGACGCAATGGCTAATATGCCCATACAAGAAGATAGACCCCCCCCCC